TAAAAAAAATACTCCCCCCCCCCCCCCCCCACCCCCCTCTCTTCTGGTTAATCTCCATATGACTAATGTGTTTGAGCATTATTTTTCCTCCTCTTGATCGAAATTAACATGTGACGTGTGGTTGTGAATTTTTAGATTCTACATTGACGATGTTCCCATCCGAGAGGTGATTCGCAATGAAGAAAAGGGCATTGTAAACTATTTTGTATGGGGCTTGCATTTTTTATTTTTTAAAAAATCTTTGTTCTTATATATATATATAGAGAGAGAATAATCTACTTTGGTGATTATATTATTGCAGCTGCATGGTTTGGATTATTTGTAGGTTCATCTTGATTAGCATATGAACTTCTCCATTAAGCATGCTTGATCATTGCCAGACTAATTATTAAGACAGTACATATATAGTGTAATTGATACTCCAGTATAACAATACCGTCCAACAGTTAGCTAGCCATGATGATCAAAGTCTTGCACCGTACTATTTTCGTGTGTGTTTATGTATAAAATTCATCGCTATGCTATAAAGGAGATTGTAATTAAATATCAAATGTTTCCCTTTTTAATAATCTAATTATCAAGGGCTAACTGAGAAGGGAAAATCATTGTTCCCCTTCTCATGAAAAAAAAAAACTATTCATAGAAACAATATTTCTTTTTTTTTTTTTTAATTTTTAATTTTATTATTTAATATTGGATTTAAAATTAAACTTTATAATTTATTTTGTTTTTCTTTCCTTGAGATTATTCTAGTTTTATGACATGGATTCTAAGTTTTACAAGTTAACCAAATTGATTTGAGTATTTTTGGATTTTTATTTTATAATTGATTTTTTTTCAATTTCTTCCTTTAAAATTTAGATTGTTTGAAAATTAAGTTTCATAATTTATTTTGGTTTACCTCCTATAAAGTTATCTTAGTTTTATGAATCAAGTTAAAGATTTAACGGGTTAACCTGGATAGACTTGTGTTTTTTTTATCAAGTTTTTTTTCTTTTCATTTCTTCATTTAATATTAAATTAATTGAGAATTAAATTATATAATATATTTTGATTTGTTTTGTATTAGGTTTTCTCGATCTCATGATACAGGTTTGGTAGGTTAACCTAAGTTATTACAGGTCTTTTTTTGTCTATTTATTTATTTATTTTTTAAAATTTTATTCTTCAATATTAAGTTGATCGAGAATTGAACTTCAATATATTTTTTATTTTTTTCTATAAAGTTATCATAATCTTATGATCCAAGTAACGAATTTTAAATGTTAACCTAGATTGACTTATATCAATTTAATATATTATCATCTAAATATTAAAAAAAATTATCTTAAATTTTTTTTAGTCAAACTATATTTTTTTTAGTTGTTTTTGAAGTAGACAAGTTGACTAAGTTATATCGGGTCAATCCCTGTATAGATTAAATTTTTTTCTTCTTGAAAGCATACTAACAATGCATGAATATTTTTTTTTAATGTTTAGAAAAAAATTCATCTGATTTGCAACAAAATTTAATCTTTATTTTTTATTTAGAAATCTCTCTACTATTTTTAATTTTAATAAAAACTTATCGTTTCTTGGTCTCTCAAGTTTTTTGAAAAAAATATTTTGATTTATATATTTTATTTTTGTTACATTAAAATCTTGTTTGAATTTTTTTCATACGTTTTTTTTCTATATATACAATTTAGTCCATGAATAATTTCTTTTCAATAAAGTCTCTACATTCAAATTGTAAACGTGCTCAAAATTACTTAAGATGAATTGAAACAGATATGGCTGTGTGTGTTTATATATATATAAGAATTTTTCTATACTATGATATAAAAAAATATCTTTTCTATATGATATTATAGAATTTTTTTAATTAATAAATAAATTAAAGTTGTTAGGTCATTGAAGTGTTTTTTTATTTTGATTATTTTCACACACACACAGATATATATATATATATATATATATATATATATATATATGTAGATATATATATTTCAATAAAAAATTGGTTATTCTATAATCTAATAGTTGATGATCAATGTGAGAGTTAAGTGGATTTAAATACCTTAGATTAAAAAACAAATTCAAGGTTGATGACCAAAAAATTTAATTTAAATATTTTTTTATAATAAAATTAAAATATAAAAACTAAAGTAACTTTCAAAAAAAATTTAAGAACTAGAATATACATCAGCAAAAATTTTTGGTGTGAGCACATAACAAATGTCAAATTTAACGTTATAAATAACACTGAAATGGTAAAACGATAATATTTTACAAGGTTGGTATCAAGAAAAATAATAATAGAGATATCTTTTAAATATAAAATAAACATTAAAAGGATGTATGAAAGCATTAGACGGTTAAGAAAACACTAGCAGTTTGTCTTTTACTAGGATTCATCATCAAAATTAATGGTTTTAAATGTTAATACCAGTTTATTTTTGTTTTTATTTTTTAAATTAATTTATTTTAATTTCACTCTTTAAACTTTTTTTTATACTTTTTTTATATAAAATTATTTCAATTTTATACTTATGATCACGAAGTTTTTAAGTTCACCTAATTTAATAGGAATTTTTTTGGGTGTTTTTTAGATTTTTTTTTATACATATACATAATTTCACTCATGAATATTAAATTGTGTTGATAATCTGGATAGATTTATGTTTGGTTCCTTTTCTTTTAATTTACTTATTGTTATTGCATTTTCTTATTCATATTATCTAAATTATTAATTGAACTAACAAGTGGGGTCTTGGATTTGCTTTACCCTTATATTGTTTTTACATTAAAAAATTTTATTTGATCGTTAATGAAACTATTTGATCTGTAACAGAATGCAGGTAATAAATCTAGTTGAAATCCTAAAAAAACATCTGGTTGAGGACACGGCAAAAATAAATTCCAAAATCAAGTTAGGTTGCGGTTTTAAAATTGAAAAATCATTAAATTTTTTTTCTCTTTGCAGGTTTCAAATATTTTATAAATTTCCTTCATGTTCATTCATAACTTTTAGTATCATAATTTAACCTTTAAATTCTTACATCTTTGAGAGAAGGTAAGGGTTATGCATCTCAATACCATAATTTAACTGTTAGAGGTTGTCTGATCTCTATTGCTGTTTTTATGGAGATGTTTAAAAAACGATAGCTTGTTATTATTTTTTCTATAGAAGAACAAATTTGTTAATATTTTCAATCTCTGTGGTTCTTAAGTTCAACATAAAATCATATATATATATATATGACCTAAAATTAATCAAAATCCACCGCCATGTTGAGTGCAATGCCAGCATACAAACAAGGTCAAAATCTCATAATGAATATGATTAACTTGAAAGGGAAGTAAAACCACCTAATGTTAAGTTTCTTTAATTATATGTTGAGTGCAATAACAGCATTCTTTAATTATATGATTAAGATCATCATTGCTGAATATTACTGACGAGAAGCCTAAGCCCTAATTCCAATAATAAACCCATCAAATTAAAAAAATAATAATTCCAACACTAAAAACAGTACATTCCTGATGATATTAATTAACAAAAACCCAAAAAAGAGATATTTTTACCATGGATTATATTGTAGTGAGTAAAATTATGGTGGATTGTGATAATGTTTTTATTTTTATGTTATTTTTTTATATAGGTATATATATTTTTTAATTTTATTTTTTAATATGGTGTTTTTTAAAAATTAAAATTGATGATTTGTTTTGTTTTGTTTTGTTTTTTATTGAGTTATTATGGCTTTAAAAAAAGCTTTGATATTATTTTTTAATATGGTGTTTTTTAAAAATTAAAATTGATGATTTGTTTTGTTTTGTTTTGTTTTTTATTGAGTTATTATGGCTTCAAGAAAAGCTTTGATATTATATTAATGCTTGATTTTAAAAAAAAAAAATCATTGCTTCCAAAAAATTATAAACATGGACACCAAAATTGATTCAGAGTGGCAATGACTTTTTTTTTTATAATGTTTAGCACCTTTTAAGAAATTTTTGCTTTTAAAAATTTTCCACTTCATTTTTTTTCTCTTTACTTTAAAACTTTTCTATTTTAATCTAAAATCTTATTTCCTTCATATTTTAATCTCTATTTTATAAAAGAGGGGAGAGAGTCGTCGAAGAATGCTAAAGGAGAAAGAACAAATCAGTAAGTGAAATTTCATTAACAAAAAACCAAATTTAATTTTAATGTGTTTCTCTTGACGAGATGAGTTTTATTATAATTTTTTTAAGCTTTTGTTTTACTAGAAAAAATATATTAGGTTTCAGAGAGTTTATTTTTTGTTTAATTTTGCATTTAAAAACTAATTTAGAGGTGTTTTGAGAAGATAAATTAGTTTAGTGAGGTTTAAAGATGTTTACTAAAGATTTTTTAGTAAAAATATGTTAAAAAATAAATTTTTAAATAAAAAAAATCCAATTCCAATTTTATAACCACCTTTAACAGTTGAAATCTAGACAATCACACTACATATCGTTTGCTTTATTCTTGTTTTGAAAGTAAAGGGCAAACAACGTAAGCAAAACAAATTCAAGACCAGGTTGGCAGAGCCCATCTGTATGGCCTGAATTCCAGCTCTTTTTATGTTTTTTTTTTTGTTTTTTTCAAAAAAATTTTTGGGTTTTTTCAAGGAAATGCGCTGTATAAAAAAAAGTCTTTGCATAATATTTAAATTATTTAAATTACTGTTTTTTTTTTTATGATTCTTTAATAACATTGGAGGTTTTTATAGGAATGTTAACGGTTGTTTTCGATTACGGTGTGCCTAATATACAAAAATAAGAAATGAAAGATTGCTCATGAATATTCAATAAAATAAGATTTCTTTTCTTTAACTTTCGGTGGACTTTTTATATTATTTTATTGCAATTATTTTTAATCAAATACATGATATTGAGACATTGTCTAGTAATATTTTTTAAAATTGTTTTCGGGATTAGGTTTTTATTTAAAAAATAAATTAAAAAACATGTTTTTATTCAAATAATCAAGAGATGCAAATTAAGTAAAAAATATTTTTTCTTGATAGTTTTAACTATTCCTTTACTTTCCTCTAGATGCCCTTTAATTAAATAAAAAATAAATTATGAAAATTAAGTTGTTAAACTAGTCATGGCTAAGGTCTAGGTCATGGTCAAGTGGAGCAATTCAGTTTGGTCTAAGCCAATCAAAAACATTATTATTTTAATTTTTTAATAAAAAATTAAATCAATATATTTATTTATTTATTACAAAAAAAATATGATTTTAGTTTAATCGCGAGGTGAGAACATACTAGGTAAACTCTTACCCAATTTACTTAAAAACTTAGAGCTAGATGAAATAGAACTCTTTAT